CACACACACACACACACACACAGTGCGCATTTTTAGACACTGTCGTTCCGTTTATAAAAAATACAAAATGGCTGCAAATTTATGGAATTCTATGGAAATATATTTATACCTAAATTGATTTTCATCAAAGAATTTTTTTTTATTTTTAGATTTTCACATCCTCATTTACCATATAATACATTTCTGGCAAGGAACAAACGTTTTTCCTTCAACTTTTTGAAAAAATCCAAGATGGCCGCCATATTCCATAGAAAACCATGGGAGTACGTCAGTGTTTTCCACATCTTTGTTAGCCACATAATATGTGTGTGGTGAGTAGTTTACATGCGTTTTTGGACATTTGAGAAATTCCAACATGGCCGCCATGTGCCAAAGGAATATTAGTACACGAAGGTATCAACTAATGGCAACTAAAAGAAGCATTTCCGTTTTCACATTATGAGTGTTTTCCACATCCTAACTACCCTGTGTTTTTTGTCAAATTGGAAGCCATCTGGCATTATATTTGAAAAATATTGACGTTGCATACGTAGCTAAGTTCATGGGGCTTACTTTGAAACCGGTTTTGTTACTCTTAACTCAATTCTAGTTGGCTCTACAAGGCCAAAAGTGTCTAACTGGGCCAACTAGCCCCGGTCCCCCCTACTTGTAGTAGTTCAAAGGGTTGGAACTAATGCAAGCCAGGAAAAAACATTATCCACTATCAAATTCAGTTTGTTTTTCAATAAAGTTATGCATATTTTTCTATAGAATTTCATAAAGGTTACGGCTCTAGAGGGCTATGGCTCTAGAAAGATTTAGAATGTCAAAAGGTAACCACATGCCAAACTTGGTGCTTTTATCCGCCGTGTCACGATATGGCCATTTTTTCCCCTAAGCCAATAAAATAATAATAATAATAGGCAGCGTCGCCAGCAGGAGTCTGTATGACAGGGTTATCAGTTACAGTATGTGTCACTGGGTATGTTTGACAGGGTTATCAGTTACAGTATGTGTCACTGGGTATGTTTGACTGGGTTATCAGTTACAGTATGTGTCACTGGGTATGTTTGGCGACAAAAACCCACTCACGCTACATCCCTTGGGTCTGTATGGGTAGAATCATAGGTTTAATCAACAAGCTGAACTGTTCTCACCTCAAATCAAATCGGCATGCTTTCGTATGTCTTTTACTTAAAGGATTTCAATCAATATATTGTATTTTAGTCCTGTTTTTATTGATCTTATTACAAAATACAATGTGTGTTTGCATATGTGTATATTTTATAAGCGAATATTTTATCTTTTTCCCTCCCTGAGACGGCCAATGTATAAATGATAAGAGTTGTGCTGGTTTGTGCTGCCACAGTGATAGATGGTGCCACCTCGCCTAGGGTCGAGACCTTATGAGACTACACTGTAAGTGGTTCAATTATCATTCCCGGGCACTGATGATTTACGACACAGAAATATCCTCGGTCGATCATTTACACAGCAACACGGATTTTCAAACTTCATCTTTCATCTTGAGGGTTCATTGCTTATTCACCATTGTTATCTTACAATTATACAAATAATACCCGTTATGTCAGTCTGCAATTAGGACCCTTCAGAATATGTCCATAAATTTGTAAACAGAATGAAGTCATCTACAACCACAATGCTAATGAAACATATTAATAAATAAATCTGTAAGGAGAAAACCAGTCAACTACAAATAATAAACGAGCCCGGCGAATCTGGCAAATTAAGTTGTTGGATGTGTAAGCTGAAATGCAGTCTATTTGCTACAAGTGCCCCGTAATGGTGGGTGTGTAAAACAGAATAATCTTAAGCCTACTGAGTTTCTTAAATAATAAATCGTTCCAAAATAATAAAAACATTCTTCTCGTCATGAACTAGCTATATTGGACCAAACGCGTGCGATTTATTATACGGTATAACAAAGTACACTCACTCTCTTTCAGTCCACTGTATATCACTATATCCAGCCAAAGTTCACTCACTCTCTTCAGTCCACTGTATATCACTATATCCAGCCAAAGTCCACTCACTCTCTTTCAGTCCACTGTATATCACAATATATAGCCAAAGTCCACTCACTTTCTTTCAGTCCACTGTATATCACTATATCCAGCCAAAGTCCACTCACTCTCTTCAGTCCACTGTATATCACTATATCCAGCCAAAGTCAACTCACTCTCTTTCAGTCCACTGTATATCACAATATATAGCCAAAGTCCACTCACTCTCTTTCAGTCCACTGTATATCACTATATCCAGCCAAAGTCCACTCACTCTCTTTCAGTCCACTGTATATCACTATATCCAGCCAAAGTCCACTCACTCTCTTTCAGTCCACTGTATATCACTATATCCAGCCAAAGTCCACTCACTCTCTTTCAGTCCACTGTATATCACTATATCCAGCCAAAGTCCACTCACTTTCTTTCAGTCCACTGTATATCACTTTGTCCAGCCAAAGTCCACTCACTCTCTTTCAGTCCACTGTATATCATTATTTCCAGCCAAAGTCCACTCACTCTCTTTCAGTCCACTGTATATCACTATATCCAGCCAAAGTCCACTCACTCTCTTTCAGTCCACTGTATATCACTATATCCAGCCAAAGTCCACTCACTTTCTTTCAGTCCACTGTATATCACTTTGTCCAGCCAAAGTCCACTCACTCTCTTTCAGTCCACTGTATATCATTATTTCCAGCCAAAGTCCACTCACTCTCTTTCAGTCCACTGTATATCATTATTTCCAGCCAAAGTCCACTCACTCTCTTTCAGTCCACTGTATATCAAGAAGTCCAGCCTAAGAGAGTGGGTGATCTGTCCTCACCCAATCCTTCTAAGCACACTTTGGTGCACTTCTGTTGTCATATTCAACGAATGTGTTAGGTGCTACAGGTAAAGAACAGCTCTAAATGCGCCTGGTTGATAATGTTAAATGTGATCTAGTAAGCATATCAAGTGTGCTAGGTGTGACTGACGAGTGACTGTAAGAGAGTCCAGGCGACGACGTTCAGTGCTTCAGAGGGGGTTTCGTTCCCGTCTTTGCTACTTGTACCTTGTTATTTTCATTATCTTACTCTTTTTCATTAGTGTGTGTCACACTGAGTGTTTCAGTTTTTTCTTTACAAATTTAAGAAACTCCTCTTACTATCAGCCCTTACTGTGATACACATCTGTACATATCTGTACATTATTCATAATTCGCAGATTTTTTTCAGTTAATGTGGTTTGCATGTATTGATAAAATAATTTTAAAAATCATATGACCCTTAGTTTACAATTCCCCTCAAAAAAAAAGAGGGCTTGAATAGAAAAGGCCAAATATCGCCACGAATTTCATGGTCAGTACTCTGTGTTATCACCAGCTTTGGGCCGGACCCAAGGCACAATGTGACAGCGTTCTGGTCACATTTCCCATGGTTTACTAACAGGCTGTCCAGGCGCGCTGTTCTACGGTCCTGCTATTGGCCGGATCCTAGGCATAGTGTGACAGCGTTCTGGTCACATTTCCCATGGTTTACTAACAGGCCGTCAAGGCGCGCTGTTCCACGGTCCTGCTATTGGCCGGACACAAGACATAGTGTGACAGCGTTCTGGTCACATTTCCCATGGTTTACTAACAGGCTGTCCAGGCGCGCTGTTCTACGGTTCTGCTATTGGCCGGATCCTAGACATAGTGTGACAGTGTTCTGGTCACATTTCCCATGGTTTACTAACAGGCCGTCAAGGCGCGCTATGCCTCGTGTTGGTTTGACCACCTGGTGTTGCCATGGTTACTGAACTGATATGAGTCAGTGTTTGAACAGTCAACAATTATGGAGTTCTTATCAGAGTGAAATTGGTCTCCTGTCCAGCGTACATTCACCGTTCAAAGTGGCCCAGACGTCACTGATAACAGTCCCAATTATTGACGGGCACGGACAGTGGCGTAACTTAAGGGCTCCAGCCACTGTAAGAGAGCACGGGTAACTTGGAGGCAGCTCTCCTGGTTCACCCCCCCCCCCTCCCTGACCCCCACCACTACCACCACCACCCACAGCTGTTCTGTCGTGATAGCCCAGGCATCGAGTGATCTAATAAGGTAGGTTCTGTCGCTTTAGTTTTCTGTTTATTCAGAGTTGATTGTATAACTTGTACTATGTTTGTACAATGGAATCAGTTTTAATTTAAAGACACCAAAGTCTGAATACAAATTACAGCAGTCTGTGGAACTTGCACTGTTTACTTCCCTGCTTAATTCACTGTGTTTACCATTAACCTGCAGCAAATACTCAATGCCAGACTTATATCAGCGTGCGCGTTCTGGGGCAAGGGTAAGGCTAGAAGTTGACAAATACGGTAAATGTACACCGCAGTATTCCCACATATTCTTTGTGGTTTTAATGAACAATATCGACATTCTTAGTCGGCGTCTCATGTCTGGGAATCACGTCCATGTATTAATAGAATGCTTTACTTCAGTCCTACCGTGATAAGAGCGTCTTTCGTTAAGTCAGTGTTACATAAGAGAAAATATCAAATAATGGAAGCAGCAGAAATAACATAAACAGTGTTTCTAAACACTTATTAAAACGTGAAATAGAATAGCTTGGAATGCTAAAATGGGACGTCGAAATAGCAGTTCTCAAGGTGTTTGTCGTGTAGTAGAGATTACAGAACACGAGTAATAACAAATAACAATCAAACACCTGAGTACGGCTGATATGCCAGGAGATTTATATGCAATTAATCATAGCTGATTGCAATTTTTCTGGAACATTACGACTGCCAAATCTCGTTCTTTGTTATACAACATCCAAAGCTGGGCGCTGGGGTCTCTGGTATGTACACAGGTATATAGTAGCTTAAGTAGCGTCCAGGTGGGCTTCAGCCGCGTGCTGCAGAGATATCATACCAGCTGACAGCTACAGGAGAGGAAAGATGCACAGCACCAAATGTGCTGAAGTCGGCCGTAGCCTCACACGGCTGGGACGCTATACCACACGAAGGTCTGCAGTGATCGTTAACCGTGGGGCAAATGCTAAAGTAACGCTTAATATACCACAGAGTCTGCTGGACAAGGTGGGGGAAAGACTTAGTCTGCACGGTGAGAACGCTTGATTACACACACTTCCTACGTGTACTTCTTATCCTCCAAACTCACATGCTTTTACATAACAGATATATTCTGTAACTGTCTTGTAATATCTTATTTTGTTATATATTCAATTATAAATCTATTTTTGCTGTATATAATTTGTTTATTCATTCGTTAATCTATTTATTCGTAATGTCATTGTTGATTATTGACTGATGTATATATTAATTTATTAATAAGCTTTTTCGTTAAGTCTTTCTCCTACCTATCTATCTATCTATCTATCTATCTATCTATCTATCTATGTAAAAATACGTCTATCCCATCAGGTCTATCATTGATATAGACGTGCGATGTAGACGACATTATGAACAGGTTCTGTTACAAACATTATAATAAAACACCAACAAATGCCACACTTGGATTGCTTTATCAGCCATGCAATACAACAGCTCACCCTATTTGTTGAATGAATGCATCAGTGCATCTTTTATTTGGATTTTAGTAACATATCATGCATTCTGGGAAATTTTTATTCCAAATATGGTCTTGAAACTTGTTCATGGTATTTATTCATGGTTAGTCGTGTACCACATCCAGGTTCACAGATTTCAGTTGCTTGGTAGGTCCAACTCTGCTAGGGATTCTCGCTAAAATGTAATCAGTGGATTCACCTTAGCTGTTTGATATGCCTCTTCGAGCAACTAGGGGGTAAGTAAGTACCGTGTGCTGATTGCACTTCAGCGAGAATCAACTGGTACGATATGTGAATCTGAATGCGTCCTAATACACTGTACGCCGTGTAGCGCTACATGACCTTTAAAAACTGGATTCTGGTTATTAGGCGGTGGTCAGTTGAGCCGCGGGGCATAAACTTCCATGGTTGAGCGGAGAATACAGGCATACTTAGCCTGTATTGATTAATGGAAATGTCTACTGCTGGCCTTTACATTAAATGTAATCTAACCAGCCTGCTTTGAAAATAAAAATCGAGAACATGCAAACGCTGCGGTCGCGAAGATAAGATCCGATCTGAGTATGTCTCATCATAGTGATTAATGAAAAAAAAAAAATAAGAAGACTACTCGCAGCGAAATAGTTTATTGTAAATGGAGGCCTCGGTTTTATTTCCCCTGTGGTCTGGTTAACAGAAGCTTCAGCTTTTCTGGCACTGTCTGCTGTCTGCTGTGTTGACATTAAACCGTAAATACTCATCTTTATAACCTGACCACGAGTGAGCACGCCGTTGTAAAGTAACCATCAGGTACCAGCAATGCTGCCAAGGCAACGCTTCTCCGTGTGTACCACTGACACCATGGCATCTCCACGAGCGCAGCATTGGCACCATGGCAACGTCTCCACGTGTGAAGCAGCGGCACCATGGCAACTCTACGTGTGCTACAGCGACACCATGGCAACGTCTCCAGTGTGCAGCAGCGGTACCATGGCAACGTCTCCTCGTGTGCAGCAGCGGCACCATGGCAACGTCTCCAGTGTGCAGCAGCGGCACCATGGCAACGTCTCCTCGTGTGCAGCAGCGGCACCATGGCAACGTCTACACGTGTGCAGCAGCGGCACCATGGCAACGTGTGCTGCATGGAGCGAATTCTACTATTTAAGAGTTGCCATAAATTACACGGAGCATAAAGTTTTTTCAGCAGTACACTAGTGAAGGCAAGAAATCATTTGATCTGATAAATTTTCATCATTTGTGTACCTTTGAGGGGGATCCCTTGGAATGACTAGTTCTGTTCCCTGTAGTGCAAATTGATCAAAATGAGCAAAATAGGTACGAAATTGAACAAAATGAATAACGTCATAATAAATATATATGTAAAAATATCCTTATTTTGACGGCCAGACCTCCACCAATAAAAAAAAACAACAAAAAACAAACAAAAAAAACTGCAGGTAAACAACGATTTCTACATTTGCTGTTGATTGAAAAAACTACTGGTACCTATTTACTCAGAAGCTATTCAAAACGATATCAAATAATTTGCCGTTTGATATAGTGTGATGTTTCTATGAAGGTCAAAGATTTTTTTCGTTATGGTTAAGGAAAAAAGTGTATGGAAAGGTGAAATCTTCTAGCGATTCATGTAGATGAGACGCCATGAGAAGGGGACGGTTACGACTTGTAATCACCAAAACGAGGTTTCAGTTTGGCCAGTTCTGGGAGTAAAGTTGTTCCAAGTGGAACTGCTTAGATTCCAGGCTTCCTGGATACAGAAATACTGCTGTCCATACAATGTTCTATTGCCTGCCTCCAAGGCTAACTGTCCATTGAAAGCTCGCTTTAGTTTACATAATGTAAACTATTGAATCTGACCAAGTTACTAAGCACATTATCAAATTGATTATCTAACGTCAGTCCAGTACTCTGGCTCAATCTTCCTCTCTCTCTCTGTCTGTCTATGTCCAGTAAGACTGCCGTCATAGCTGTGTCATTGTCACCTTACAGGGCTCCCATGGACTGTCACTATCACCTAACCCATGATGACGACAGCACGATCACCCTGGACGCACACACTGAGGGTACGTATAGCAAGACACTCCGGCAGGTGGCACTCACGTTCACATTTGATTTAACTACAGAAAGCCCCGCTGTATCTCAGCCATATCGACCGTGTCGGTTATCTCATACACAGGCTAAACAGTACTTTATACCGTTTCATAATGATGGTCAAGTTTACACCTCAGATTCAGGTAGAAATAGCGTCCTTGGTGCTGTTCGCTCCGTGTTAATACCGTGTTGCAGAGCGACGTCTGATTCAGACCTGCTGTATGCTGTACTGTAGTTTCCTGTAGTTTATAATAACCCTCTAAGCTACATGTAGCCTTATCCCTCTCAGATATCTCTCTAATAGTACATTCAGAACAGATGATCCTCGGACTTACAGACCCACGGATCAAATATGGCCGACCCAGTTAAAAGGCAGCCGCTTATAATCCCCTGCTGGTCTCCCCACGCAGTCCACACGTGCCGTCCCTCAAGCAATAACATGTAAACCTCTGAGCCGAGATTTAATCCATTTACGGCGTTTGTGGAGGCGGTGAACACATCAAGGGATTACCCGGCTTCCTTTGAAGTGGGGTCAGCCATAATTAGTCCACGGATCAGTAAGTACGCGGATCAACTTTTTCTGAATGCGACCTTAGTGTGCTGATCAACTTTTTCTGAATGCAACCATTGCACTTAAAGTGCTCTAGGAGGCAGGTAGAGGTAATGTAACAAATATAATATTATTTTATTAACACATTATTATTATTATTTCGAAAGAAGCATCAACATTAACTGCTAAATACAGTTTTCATATCTAACTAGTTCACTTTCCGACTGCGTGACCTTTTTTCATTATTTAATCAGCCGCATTGTAACCAACAGCGCGTGATTTATAGCCTGGTTTCTGTTGGCCAGCTTTCATAAACAGTGTGTTTGTAGACGCCAGACCAGTAGCAGTTATGAATGGACAGAGGGCAGAAATTAGGTGCACGCGGTTTGTGTACCTGATCAATATCAAAGCTTCAAGGCCAGCAACTTCAGCTGAATCACGGGACGGGTAATTACACAAGTGAGCCTGGAAATAGTTTACCTGGCATGGAATACAATTTTTTCTCTACACGTATTGCGATATAAATAATAAATAGAAAGCTTTACAAACACTAAAATTAAACAAATCCGACCATCAACCAAACTGCAGTTTTACAAATATAGAAGCCACAAGGACGATATATCAAGACAAAAGGTAAATGTAATATTGAAACCAAAACCTACAAGTTGCACGGATCATTACCAGACAGACACGTTTGTTAAGTGCTGCAGTTCGTGTAACGTACAGAGTGGACATCGATACTGTATTGACGGACTGTGCTGGTGAAGACGCGTTACTAACAGGAATCACCACCAGATGTCGCAGAGGTTATTTTACACTGAAAGCGTCAGATCATCTGCATACTGCGTTGTTTCAGTACACAAAGTTACTATGTGTATTTTTGGTTTAAAGGACGACGGCTTCACGCCCTGTTCAAGATGACCTCTGACCTTTGCTGGTAACCTGACTGATGACTTATCAGAGAGAAATTTGTCAATATCTAGTCCGTGAGTTCTATCAGTCCCTGGACTTAATTATGACTCCATTGACTCTGGTAGTCTGACAGTCATACAGTCCCAAAATTTATGACTCCATTGACTCGGGTAGACTGACAGTCATACAGTCTCTAAACTCATGACTCCATTAATTGACTCTGGCTGACCGAGATTTATAGCAAGTATTAATTACATGTTTGTAACAGTATATAAAAACTACGGCACTTATGGTCCACACTCATCGGCAAATACTGATGAACTAATAAAGTCAACACACTATTTGACTATATTTTACAGGACTACGTTGATATACGTATAAAGTCAACACAATATTAGACTATTTTAAAGGACTACTTTTATTTAAGGTCGGTTCAGCTTGATGTGGGACATTATAGCTGCGTTCATAAATTCTCTTTCAATGGACAAGTCACTGCTCTTATTACGTCCCCCATGCCCTGCCAGTTCAGGGGCGGATTCAGAGATATTTTCTGACGGTCTTCCAAAGTTACTTTGTTGACCCGTCCTCCATTTTTGACCGTCTTCCGACAGAAAAAATCCATATCCGTCAATGTAAACTTGAAAATCTGACCGTCTTCTGGAAGACCCAGAAGACGGCCTAAATCCGCCCCTAAATCCGCCCAGCGTTTACTTAACTGTTAACCTGGACAGAATTTCTGACGAATTCTTTGGTTCTCTGGAAATAAAAATAGTGTTAAAATGCAGGCGCAGCGGCCTCCTCACACACAGAGCCAGACACGGGTTTCGTAACGCCAGTGATGACGTAACATGGCCACTTTCAAAGCCGCTTTTTTAACGGACAAAAGGTTGGTAGTGGTGACCTCCACGTGCACTCCGGCGTTTGTTGTTTACATCTGTGCGGGTCTTGTGCTGCGGCGGGATGTGAACGTGACTGGAAACCACGGAAGAAAGGGACATTTTGTCTCCTCTGTGGTGTTAACTTCCACGCTATGTAGGGTGTCGGTATCACAAAATGGGATGGTAGATATATTATGAGGGCTAACGAGCCGTTGCCATGGTGATAATTAGACCATAGGATTTCTAAACAACATATATCAGGATATATGGTTACTCGACCATTCATCAGTCATACAAATATGGCGTCTTTATTGTCAGTTTTATAAAAGCTCCGTGGCCATCAGTAATAGAAGTTAGCCTACGTCGCGTCCAGCGTTTACAGCAAGGGACTTTGCTTTCCGAGTTTGTTTTGTAGGAAAGAGGCGGGGTGAATTAAAACTGCGGTCAAGTAGACATAAAAGACGATACATAAAGAACGCGTCTACCGAACTGTGGTGTGTAAATCAGCGTGGCACAGCGCAGACAGTCAGCGGAGAAGGAGGAGAGAGGAGAGAGGAGGACCGTGAGGTGCGGGTCAGGAGATACGAGGAGGGACACGCCATCTTGAAGCAGGCTGTTCTTTACCCGCTGTTTACTCTCTGTACAGAAACAATAACGAACACCAAAGACCGCGGCACGACGAGGAATTAGTCGCTTCCGCTGCAGTTAAGTGCATTCGTTGCATTAATTAATGCAATATAGCGTACGTCTGCTACGTACTCCGGGAGACACGCAACGTCAGTTTGCTCTACATCCGGGTACTCTTTCCAGCATCTGCCAGCTTCTGATTAAGAGAAACCAATCTGGCCGAGCTCCTGGAAATGGTATTTCCATCAGATTTTTTTAACAACAGTTGAGATTAAAGTCGACGCTGTAGGCATCTCTTGGTTCCGTGCCGTTTATGTAGGCAACGCGCCACGTGGAAAACGCTGCTACTGAAGCAAAGAACATTAATTACACCCGCCTCCATGGCAGTTTTTATTTTTTAACCCTGAGAAATAAATCATAACACTGAACCGTTGCATATATTCGCCAACTCAGCAGATCTACTATTCACGGTATCCAGGACGGAAGCTCAGCTGACTGTAAAACGTCAGGATAATCCTTCCATTCCAGGATTTCTGCAACGATTACAGAACACCAAGCAGCGTCTGGTTGAAGGTTTATCCACCAATTTTGTGAAGATGACAAAACACTGACGCTGGATTTAGACGATGAGTTATTGTGGAACTAGATAGATGAACAAGCTGCCGTCAATTATGGTTCATACGTATCGAAACTTACAGTTTACCAAACTAAACCGAATTAGGCGATAATAAGCTGACAGCAGTAAACGTTGTGCAGTGCGCTGTGTACAGGGAATATATTAAGACAGCTCTCTTAGCCTCCTGACAGCCGTCCACTAACAGCCGTCCCCTGAGAGCCTCCCTGACAGCCGTCCCCTGAAAGCCTCCCTGACAGCCGTCTCGTGAGAGCCCCTCTGACAGCCGTCCCCTGAGAGCCCCTCTGACTCATGAGACCCATATCATTAATACACACTGTATCATAACGTACATAATCAAATCCAATCCGATACTCCTCAGAATGCAGCCTGCTGACTTAGACTTTGACTTTGACTTTGTTCCAGCTGCCGGCAGACCCGGTGACCGGCGTGGACACATGCCTGTCCAACCGTACCAACGGCGGAGGAGACCGTCAGCGTTCCAGAGACTCTGGAGCAAACTGAGCAGCACCAGTACAGAGTATGATGGACAGATGTAAGTACAGAATACGTGTGTGTCTACTCCTTCTAAAGCTGACATGTAGATTAAACCTGGTTTTATGAGAAGGGAATACTGGCATTTTCATTGAAAACTGTGTGCCAAAAGACCGCCACTCTTCATGATTTGGCCAAGTATTCAATTGTGCTGCGAATGACAAACACTTCACATTTCTTCACATTTTCATTTCTGTTTGAAGACTTAATAAACTACCTGCCAACGATATCTCCATATCTGAGGTCATGCCAGTCCTCTAGTAAACTGATCTGAAATATTTATTTCCACTGAGATTTATTAACGAAAAAAATCCTGAATACACTGATGTTCCTTTTGTTGGTGGTATACTGCCTATATTTGATTACATTATAAAGAAAAATGTATTAAACACTGAAAAAAACAGGACAGAGTTTTATTACACGTTGCGTGGTCTAGTTGTATTATTTCTTCACTCAAGCACTATGACTGTGCATGGTTGTGTATCATTACTGAGGTACACTTATGACATCATGTTTGTGCCTTATATTGCACATGTTAGCGTGTTAAGAACGCTGCTCGTGACTGATCTTTCGGTCACATAAAAGGAGCACGTTAACGTAACATCCCCCAGCCGTGACACGTGCTCTAAACACCACATCAGTTAATTGAATGTCCTGTGCGAGGTTTCTGCGGGTGAAACTTTGAAAACAAACGTGGACAGGAATTAAGTATAAAGCATTTCTCCCCAGCTTTTGCTCCCACATGATAAAATGCTTCTAATTGCAAACTTTACCAAACATACGGCCATTTACTCTGCTTCTTGATTAATGTCAGTATGAGTCTAGTTGTTAAGTGCGCATCTGCTGTTTACAGTAATGTCAGTCATCATGCAGTCGATGTGCACTGTGTGCTGGTAAATGCACGAGCGTCTACTTTATTATTATTATTATTATTATTATTATTATTATTATTATTATTGCAATAAAGAGTAGACATGTAAAACTTTGGTTTTTATTTAGCACTACACTTACATGTACCAATCTCGTAGGCCTACACTTCATAGAGAGTTACACTGAGTGCTAATCTCAAACTGTAGGCCTAAAGTCAAGAAATCAAAACCACGGTAATAAGGTCTCCAATGAAGAGAGTTGGCGGGGTGCAGGCATCCATCTCAATGGCAGTTGTCTGGTTCAGGGGTCTAACCTTACTCATAGCCACCGCGTTTCATTTGAAGACTTTGCTAGAACACTCCTGGCATAGATATGCACGTAGAGCGCAGCTGATATTATGGTTAATATATTTCATAGCACAAGCGCACACTTTAAGCTAAGATTAGTTCAAAAATGTTTTTTTTTTTTTAAGTGCATTAATGCATGTAGGCTGTAGCATTATCGTAGAAGGCGTCACACAGTTCCCGTACGGGCGTTGTGCGGATCGTGATAAAGGTTAAAACTGTTGTTGGTCTCTTTTCCTACCAACTTTGGTGGTTTTAGGAACCTTAACAAAAGTAAAGATGTTTAAAATTTAGTGTAGTTCACTTTCACGAATTTGAAGTTGTGCTTTTTCTCATTCTGACTACATGGGCGCTAAAAATCGTAGGGATTCGTACAGACAACATATCGATCTTCAAGAAAGCCGTACGGAAAGCGTACGGCAAGTGTACTGAGATTAAAGGGGGCTCAGAACGATCACTTTTCTTTCATGAACCCGATCTTTTCGTTCACGATCTCATGTCATATCATATCGTAGAAACGGCACGGTAGCCGCACGTTATGTAAACGTTGTCCTTGCTACTTACGATGGCATAAGATCGCACAGAAAACTATACGATTTCAATACGCGGCGTCCGTGGCAGAAGTAATCTCGGCCTAAGTTAAATCTCACGGTCATTCGCATGTGTCAATAATCCATCAAAGCGTCCACTATAAAAGAACTCACCTTAGTTGAACTCCACGTGGCTGGCTTTGTTTATATGAAACATTCTCCACATGAGAGCCTCGGTTGAGATCGAGTATATAAATATGGATTTTAATTGAGATGATGCATGCCGCCTCAGTGGGAATAAACGCAGAACACATGTATCTTGTGAAAACAATATCGGTAACAAACCTACTAAAAGCGTGGATGAACATTATGTCCAAACGCGGTTAAAATTCTGGCATGGAGTATTACGTAAAGTGCATAGTGGCAAATTATAAACACAAAACGAAATTGACATAGTTGGCGTGGTGGATCATTTCCACTTATGTCTTAATTCAGTCAATACTCGTTAGGTCTACTTATTCGAAATACTGTGTCGAAACGCTTATTTTCACATTCTGTAATCTCATGTTGCTGGCCCCGGCTAAGATTTTGCTATAGGTGTGCTATAGCACGTGACCCTGATTTCATTTTATTACCAATGAAGATTAAATATATTTAAAAAAAGGCACAATGTAGTAAACTTCAGGTCATCGGGTACAGTGACCATCTAAAAATGCCCTGTGCTTAGAGTGTTGGTTGTTGCTGTCCACTCTTCAGTTCTCTTCACTGATGTTATCTAAGATGCTGTGTGTTACAAACAATGCAATGACATATTTGTTGGTCCTTGCAGTAGAAGGTTATATAAAGTTTTTCACCAACAATATATTTGATTGACATCAACAATATAAGACGTATTGTTGTCTGGCACAGGGCTTAAATCCCTCACTGCCCGTGCCGTATGGGACATCATAAACAGCTATGACGTGAAGTCACCCGGGCAGATCACGGTATGTTGCATGGGGTAGAGAATCCTTCCTCATTACCGTCTTGTGCGGGTTTCACCCACACCTGCTCCCTGCTAAGTTTTCCACAGACTGCTAGCATTAATTAGTCCATACTCATTGGCGAGCTTTCTATGCCAATATATTATTTTCTGGACAGAGAAAAAGCCCAATACCCGTTGTAGTAGAAGGAGATTGTGCAGAAACTGCCTTATTGGAGTTATTTCCAGGTTAAGTCAGTTGGCTGCTACATTTCAAAAGCGTTCATGAATGTTCTACCTTTTAAAACATCTTGTTAAAACACACAGGCACAGCACGCTATGCTGGAAATTCATTGTTACAATACTGTTTCTTTTCATCACTCCGTGAGTTTATGCGTCTGCAAATGAAGTAATCGTCGAATTACATTTCTAGGATATTCGATCGTCTTAATTTGGTGTTTATTGATTTAACTGTCTCCTGTGACTCCCTCCAGACAAATACTGACTCTCGAACCAATCAGTCGACTTTGAATTTGTTGGAGATCAAATTAATTGTCATTATCCTACTCTCCATTACTTAATTAACATACGGGGGCAGTCAGGGAGTGGGGAGCAGTCTGGGATAAAGCTGGAGCCGGGGTGTAGGGAGTGGGGAGCAGTCTGGGATAAAGCTGGAGCCGGGGTGTAGGGAGTGGGGGGCAGTCTGGGATAAAGA